AAAGAACATGTTTTAGTTCAATCATATATTTCTGGTTCTTTAGTATTACTATTTTGAAGATTAATTTGTATAACCAAGAGGAGTGCAATTAATTATTCAACTTGAGTAATAATATATATCTGCAATCGTGAGAGGCATTTATACCTTTTTGAGAAATAGAAATTGAAGAATAATAATTCTACTATATAATAGAAATATTAAATGAAGTCAAGATCCCAACACTTTTTACTATATTTGTGAAAAATAAAAAAAGTTCTACTGCTTTATTCATGCATTTTTAGTTAGTTAATTTATAACTCAACTCTCTCTGATTTTCTCAAATAGTAATTAAAACAAGAAATGTCTGTAGAATAGATAAACCAATCTCTGTGGGTTCGACATCTTTCTATACTATAATTTGACAGAGTACGAGTTTAGTTTATACACACGCTAGACACTCGTCAAATTTTTGGCGCTGTTGCCGGGGATTGGCTAAAGTCTACTACAGATTAATTGTTTTACTACTAATTTGAGATTTTTTTATTTAATTATTTTAACTTTTCTGCAGAAATTTCAGAAAGTGCATGACCCGTTCCTCTTCTAGAGAACTAGTCAAATACGATCCTGAAATTGAAAAATCCTTGCGGTTGTTGCGAAAAGAACAAACCTCACAATCTCAAATTTTCACATCAGAGGAAATGGAGAACGAAGAACTCAATAACCAACTTCCGTCACATCAAGTAGAAGAATAGTTTGATGAGGTAGCTCCACGATGTGACATAATACTTAGAGATTATGCAAGGCCAGATCATTTTGAAGGAGAATCAAGTGTGAGGAGACCACCAATTGTAGCAAACATCTTTGAAATCCGCACAGGCTTGATTCAAACCATTCAACAGTCATGTCAATTTACTCGTGATGCGGTGAAGATCGTTACACCCATTTAATTGATTTTCTTGAATTAGTTGAAACTTGCAGGTATAATGGAGTCACAACAGATGCTATTAGGTTGCGGCTTTTTCCTTTTTCATTAAAAGGTGATGTAAAAACATGGTTGCGAAGTCTACCAAGAGGTTCCATTACAACATGGGACCAAATGACCCAAAAAATTCTTAATAAATATTTTCACTTGCAAAAACATTTAAAATGAAGCAAGAAATTAATAATTTTATGCAGACAGATTCTGAATCTGTATACCAGGCATGGGAAAGATTAGCAGCATTGTTAAGAAAATGCCCACATCATGGTATCCAAGACCCTGACATTTTATATATTTTCTATCACGGTCTTAAACCCTCGGCTAGAAATGTAATTGATGCAGCATCAGGAGGATCAATAATGGGAAAAACTACTGTAGAAGCAATGCAATTGCTTAATGAGATTTCGAAAAATGTTGTTCAATGGCCCTTAGACAGAACGATTATGAAGAAAACAGCAGGAGTAAATCAAGTTGAAGCTTTGAATTCATTGACACAACAAATTGCGACCTTAACACAAAAAGTTGAGGCTTTTCAGGTAGGTGCTCACTCATCATCCCAACTTGAGAATTGTGATGTCTATTAAGGTAATCATCCAAATCATGAATGTCAAGCTTCAACACAAAATGTGGAACAGGTAAATGTGATTGGTTATAAAAATGATTACTCATTTGGTAGTCCCATGGCACAAAAACATCCAGGATTTCAGTGGAGTAATCCTAATGGTGCTGAAAATCCTCAAAGATTTTTTAATCAAAAGAAGCAGGTATAGGAACCACCTGGTTTTCAAAATCAAAATAGAGGGCAAAAACGTTTTCAACAATATCAGCAGCAGCCTCAAAGATCTCATCAACAAAGCCTTGAAGACCTGATGTACAAATTCATTAAGGCTACTAACAAGAAGGTTGAAAGACAACATTCAGCTATCAAGAATTTGGAAATTCAAGTAAGCCAATTAGCGACCCTCATGTCTGGACAAATTCAAGGTGCTCTACCAAGCAACACTGAGAAAAATCTAAAAGAGCACCTCAAAGTCATCTCTCTACGATCAGGTAAATCTCTTGATGATCCATATGCAGATAGAGAAGGAAAGACACAAGAAATGGAAAAGGTAAATGAAGGTGAGAATAAAATAGAATATAAGTTTCCAAAAGAACAAAAGAATAAAGGGAAAAATGTACAAGAAAATGAATTGAACACAAATCCTCACTTTGTACCCCTCCCGTTTCCCCAAAAAATGAAAAGAGAAAATCTTGACAAACAGTTTTCAAAGTTTCTAGATATTTTGAAACAACTTTACATTAACATACCTTTCACAGATGCTTTGACACAAATGCCTTCATATGCTAAATTTCTTAAAGAAATTCTGTCAAATAAAAGAAAATGGAAGAAGTTTCAGTGGTTAAGCTTACGAAAAAATGTAGTGTTATACTTCAAAATAAGCTCCCACAAAAACTTGGTGATCTAGGAAGTTTTACAATTCCTTGTACCGTGGGAGGTACTCACTTTGAAAAGGCGTTATGTGATTCAGGTGCCTCAATAAATCTAATGCCTTTTATAATTTTCTGGAAATTAGAACTTGGTGAAATAAAAGATATTGTGTGTCTCTTCAATTAGCTGATCAAAGTACTAAGAGACCAAAAGGAATTATTGAAAATATCCTTGTTAGAGTTGACAAATTTGTATTCCCAATAGATTTTATAGTGTTTGAAATGGAAGAAAATACTGAGGTACCATTAATTTTAGGTAGACCATTTCTTGCAACTGGAAGAGTAATTATTGATGTTCATCAAGGACAATTAATATTGTGAGTTGATGAGGAAAGAGTGATTTTTGACATGCAAAAAATGATGAAATTTCCTGGGGATGAGTCATCATCATCTTATTTTCAAATAGACTTACTAGATGACCTTGTAGACGCATACAAAAATAATCAGTTAATTACTGATTCATTGGATAGATGTTTGGCTAGCTCAGGTACCATAAGTGATGATAACCCCATAATTAGAGAAGAAGCTGAAATATTGGAAAAAGAGTCAGAGAATGATAAAGTCTCACAAGAAAGAGTTCAATTAAAAATTGAACTCAAAGCACTTCCTTCTCATTTAAAATATGTGTTTCTTGAACCTGAATCATTTCCAGTAATCATTTCATCTTCTTTGACTATAGAACAGGAAAGCAAACTGATTGGAGTCTTGAGAAAACACAAAACAACCTTAGGGTGGACTATAGCTGATATCAAAGGAATCAGTCCAACTATTTGTATGCATAGGATTCTTATGGAGAATGATTATAAGCCAATAGTCCAACCCCAAAGGAGACTAAACCCAGCAATGCAGGAAGTTATCAAGAAAGAAGTGGTGAAACTTCTAGCAGCAGGTATCATTTATCCAATATCTGACCATCCTTGGGTAAGTCCTATATAGGTAATACCAAAGAAATGAGGTATGACAGTAATAAAAAATAAAAATAATAAACTCATACCTACTAGAACAGTCACAGGATGGAGAGTCTGTATTGATTACAGATGACTTAATGATTCCACAAGGAAAGATCATTTTCCTTTGCCCTTTATTGATCAAATGCTTGAAAGAGTTGTAGGCCATGGTTTTTACTATTTTCTTGACGGATATTCTGGGTATAATCAGATACCAATTTCTCCAGAAGATCAAGAGAAAACAACATTCACATGCCCCCAAGGTACGTATGCTTACTGAAGAATGCCATTTGGACTATGCAATACTCATGCTACATTTCAGCGTTGCATGTCGGCAATTTTCTCTAATGACTGAAAAGTTTCTTGAAATATTTATGGATGATTTCACACTTTTTGGTAATACATTTGAAGATTGTCCCTATCATTTAACTTTGGTGCTTAAAAGATGTGAAGAGAAAATTTTAGTTTTTAATTGGGAAAAATGCCATTTCATGGTAACAGAGGGAATTGTTTTAGGACATAAAATTTCTGCTAAAGGGATAGAAGTTGATATGGCTAAAATTGATCTTATAGCAGGATTACCCCCTCCTACCATTATTAAAGGCATTAGAAGTTTCTTAGGGCATGCAGGTTTTTATAGAAGGTTTATAAAAGATTTTTAAAAAATCTGAAAACCTCTGACTAACCTACTGATGAAAGATGTGAAATTTGAATTTTCAGATAATTGCAAAAAATCATTTGAGATTCTCAAAAAACAATTGACTAATGCTCCAATTGGTGTTTCTCCTGACTGGAGCCAGCCCTTTGAAATAATGTATGATGCAAGTGATACAGCAGCAGGAGCGATATTGGGACAAAGAAGAGACAAGGTTTTTAGGCATATATACTACGCCAGTAGAACACTTAATGAAGCTCAAAAGAATTATGCTACAACTGAGAAGGAACTACTAGCAACAGTATTTGCATTCGACAAATTTCGTTCCTATTTGATAGGAACAAAAGTTACAATTTATAATGATCATGCAGCTTTAAAATACCTCTTAGCAAAGAAAGATGCTAGACCAAGATTGCTAAGATGGATACTCCTTTTGCAAGAATTTGATCTTAAAATAAAAGACCAAAAAGGTTCCGAGAATCAGGTAGCTAATCATTTGTCTCGTTTGGAAAATCCTCCTACTGAGATAAAAGATATCAAAGAGGAATTTCCTGATGAACATATATTTTCAGTCACAACTGTTATAAATCAACCACCTTGGTTTGCTGATATTGCCAACTACTTGGCTGGAAGATGGATTCCAAAAGATTTTTCTTATGAACAAAAGAAAAAACTTAAAAAATAAGCAAGACATTATTACTGGGAAGATCCTTACTTGTTTAAATTTTGTGCAGATGACATAATCAGGAGATGTGTACCAGAGACATAAATGAACAACATCTTAAGTCACTGCCATGATGGGGCTGCAGGAGGACACTATGGAGGAAAAAGGACAGCTGCTAAAGTACTTGAAGTTGTCTTTTTCTAGCCTACTCTATTCAAAGATGCAAGGAATTATGTCGCCACTTGCGATAAATGCCAGAGAATTGGTAACATTTCAAAAGGGGACGAAATGCCTCTTAACTCTATTTTCATGTGTGAAATCTTTGATGTTTGTGGCATTGATTTTATGGGTCCTTTTCCTCCTTTAAATGGCTATGAATATATTTTGGTAGCTGTTGACTATGTTTCAAAATGGGTAGAAGCAATTGCTACTAGAAAAAATGATGCTCATATTGTTTGTGCTTTTCTCAAGAAAAATATTTTTTCTAGATTTGGAATTCCACGAGTTATAATAAGTGATCAAGAAACTCATTTTATAAATAGACAATTTGCTAGTTTGTTGTTAAAATATGGAGTAACTCATAAAACAGGAACCCCATATCATGCTCAAACAAGCGGGCAAGTAGAAGTTTTTAACAGAGAATTAAAAAGAAATTTAGAAAAAACTGTTGGTTCTTCTCGAAAAGATTGGTCTTTAAAATTGGATGATGCTTTATGGGCGTACAGAACTGCTTATAAAAACACCCATAGGCACATCTCCTTATAGACTAGTTTTTGGAAAAGCTTGTCATTTACCTGTGGAATTAAAACATAAAGCATATTGGACTATAAAATTATTGAATCTAAACTTGCCAGATGCAGGTAAAAATCGTCTATTGCAACTTGATGAGTTGGAAGAGTTTAGGCTTACAGCATATGAAAATGCTAAATTGTACAAGGAAAAGACAAAAAAATGGCATGACAAGCTCATCCACCATAAAGATTTTAAAGTTAGAGATCATGTTCTGTTGTACAATAGCCGATTGAGATTATTTCCAGGAAAGCTTAAGTCACACTGGACAGGACCATATACAGTAACAAGAGTGACCCCCTATAGTGCCATTGAAGTACAATATGCAGATGGGGGAGACAAATTCAAAGTAAACAGTCATCGTTTGAAGCCTTATATCAGCAGATTCTTCGACAAACAGGCTTCAACAATCCTTTTTGCCTAATTTTTAAAATAAGTCGAGTTGGTGACGTTAAACTCAGAACTATTTTCTTCCCCTCTCTTTAATCGTTTAAGTAATTATTAGTAGTAACATATAATATTTCCTTTGAGTAAATATATATATATATAATTAGTTTTTTTCTTATAAAAAAGTAAAAAATAATAATTGCATGTTTATATATATATATATATATATATATATATATGCGTATGTAGTATGTATTAATATATTTTACCAAGATAAAGAAGCACTCCCATGATTTCAACAATGAAAGTTTTCTCCTATCATGAAAAAGAATATTTTTTTGCCATAATCTTGCCTTTTTATATGAGAGAAACCTTGATAGGCCAAGAAAAAGAAAATGAGGCTAGAATCGAAAAAAATCAGGGAAGCTCCTTTATCTCCTTTTACTTTTAGTTTATTTGTCATGAGGACATGACATTATTTAAGCTAGGGGTAGAGGAATATGTTAGTTATATATGTGTTTCTTTTAAGTTATATTTTGGTTAAATATAAAAAAAATATAAAAACGTATATTTTACAACTGAAAAATGTGTTTTTAGTAAAATTATAAAAATAATTTTAAAAAATACTGAAAAAAATTGAGTTGCCTTATTCTTAAGGCAACTTATTTCATGTACTTCCATGGATTTCTTGTTCATTTCTTTGCCATGGTCGTAATATTTTGAACTGAACATTTTTTTAGGACTTTTTAACTTGTTTTGGTAAATAAGTTGGCTAAACTTGATTTGACTTGAAAAGCATGACACTTAGAAAAGATGAATTTGATTAAGTACCATTCACGGGTTTTATGATCACTTTTCTAAGCTCATCCTTACTTATTGGTGATTGAAATTATAGTTTTCGTTGGCCCAAGTGTATTGTGCGGTTAGCTCTATTGTCTAGTGCTCCTACTTATCTGGAAATCTAGAACTTGCCTTGAATGTGGATTGAGGCGAAATTATAGGTAGATCGTTGAGTAAAGAAATGAACATAGGCCTTCTTTGTTGAGCCATAGCCTAAATTGACCTACCTTAATGATTTTTATCCCTAGTTAGCCCAGTTGAGCTTATATAAATTATCTCTTATGTTGTTGGTCGCCAAGCTTTAACCCTTAGCCTGTTTGTTGTTATGACTTGTTCTTTGTTCACCCAATTCCCTTTTGGGCACTTTAAGAGTTGATCTGAATATAAAAATCTGGGCGTGAGGATTAACTGCAAAAATAATTGGTGAAAGAATAATTGTTTAAGGTTTTTGATGTTTTTAGATGTTTTTTTTAAAAATAGTTGCTTCCGAATTTCAAAAAAAATAGAAACAAAGAAACGTTGGAGACTCCATAAAAAAAATTGAAAGGGATGAAACAAAACAGAGGTTTATTGTTTAAATGAGATGAAAGGCAATTCTACTTAAGAAATAAAATAAATGTGTAGTGCCCATAGGGAATTTGAGTCACTATTATCTATATGTATCCTACCCATTCCTAAGCCTACTTTACAACCTTGCAAAAGTCCTACATGATCTTAACTCAGAGACTCCTATATTAGTGTAGAACCACATGATAGTCAAGCTTATGGTTATTTCCAGTAGCTTGAGGTACTTCTTTGTTAAGAGTGAGCGCATTTTTTATCTATGCCCTTATTTGATCCTATATCTATATATTATGTGATATATGGGCATCTCTCTTCATTCAGTGAGACACACTTGGGATTAGAAAATATTATGATTTCAGTTCTCAATAGGTGAACATGAGTACAACTAAAAGTTGTTTTGAACTCGTGGATTGGTGTTAGTCAATTCTTCTCTGTCAAAACCTCTCATGATTTCACTTAAGTGTTTAGTTACTATGTTCATTTATTTTATTTTCTTGAGGACGAGTAAAAGTTTAAGTATGGGAGAATTTGATAAGTGCATTTTACCAGATATTAACCACATAATTTCTCTCATAAAAACATATAAATTATCATGTTTCCTCCATAGTCTTAACTTTATTTTGCAGGAATAATTATAGCAGAATTATTGTGCGCAACATGAAAAAAGAAAAATAAATATTCAAGAAAGATACAACAAAGAAGTGTAAGATCAAGCTATGATTTATTACTGCCGTGACAATGCACCAAGTCTCTAGTTATCTTTTCTTTGAAATCACAATAGCGGTTTAGTTGTTGTTTCTAAATAAATTCTAGTATAGGAAATTACTCTAGTTCCTACTTTTAATTAAATAGGGGGAATAATTCTTCTTGAATATTTCTTTCTATTTTCTTATTTAATGGACAAGAATATTTCCATTGTTAGTACTAGTTCCAGTATGGAGTAACTTTTCTTGTGTTGGGAGAAAGACGAATCTTAATATTTCTATATAATAGTAGATATTATTCCTCAAATTCAAATGCTTGAGCTAGAATTTATTTAACTTTTTCTGCTTTTACAGTTAGACGTTATTTAATTAATTAACATCTATCTATCTTGTACTACATATTAACTATTTATTAACTCTGTAATCGAGAGAGACGGAAGAAATAATATAGTTAAATGTAGTATTGATAAATGTTAATATTTTATTCAGTAACATTTATATTTTTATGTTATAATTAATTTTACACTTATTTGTAATCGAGAGAGTCGAATAGTGTAATAATTAGTTATAACAAGTAGGGTAACCGAAAGGGACTTACTATCAAGAGCATGTTTTAGTTCAATCATATATTTCTGGTTCTTTAGTATTACTATTTTGAAGATTAATTTGTATAACCGAGAGGAGTGCAAATAATGATTCAACTTGAGTAATAATATATATTTGTAATCGTGAGAGGCATTTATACCTTTTTGAGAAATAGAAATTGTAGAATAATAATTCCACTATATAATAGAAATATTAAATGAAGTCAAGATCCCAACACCTTTTATTATATTTGTGAAAAACAAAAAAATTTATACTTCTTTATTCATGCATTTTTAGTTAGTTAATTTACAACTCGACTCTCTCTGATTTTCTCAAATAGTAATTAAAACAAGAAATGTCTGTAGAATAGACAAACCAATCTCTGTGGGTTCGACATTTTTCTACACTATAATTTGACAGAGTACGAGTTTAATTTATACACACGCCAGACACTTGTCAGTACTCTTTGCTAGAGCGTACTTGCTGTGCTTTGACTTGGACGGCCCAGAAGTTGAGGCATTACTTCTGTGCCTAAACTACATACCTCATATACAGGATGGACCCTCTGAAGTACATATTCTAGAAACCCATGTCGACTCGAAAGTTAGCCAAATGACAGATACTATTAAGTGAGTTCGATATCATCTACGTAACTCAAAAGACGGTCAAAGGGAAAGCATTGGTAGATCACCTTGCTGAAAATCCTGTGGGAGGAGCATACAAACCTTTGAAGACGTATTTTCCTGATGAAGAAGTATCATTTGTAGGAGAAGACATTACCGAATCATACGACAGTTGGAGGATGTTCTTTGATGGAGCTGCAAATTTCAGAGGAGTGAGCATTGGAGCAATTTTGGTATCAAAAATAGGTCAACATTATCCGGTATCTGCTCAACTCAGATTTCCCTGCACCAACAACATGGTAGAGTATGAAGCCTACAGACTAGGGCTCAACAGGGCAATCGACATGAACATTCAGGAGTTGCTGGTAATCGGTGATTCAGATTTGCTTGTGCACCAGGTACAAGGAGAATGGGTGACCAAGAATTCCAAGATATTTCCATATTTGCACCATGTGCAGGAATTGAGAAAGAGGTTCATAAAGATAGAATTCTGACATGTGCCCAGAATTCAGAACATGTTTGCCGATGCGTTGGCCACCATGTCATCTATGATACAACATCCAGATAAGAATTACATTGTTCCTATCTCTGTGAGGATTCATAATCAGCCGGCATATTGTGCTCATGTTGAAGAAAAAACAGATGGAAAGCCTCGGTTCCATGACATCAAGGAGTATTTGTCAAAGGGAGAATATTCGGAGCATGCAAACCACACTCAGAAACACACCCACCGGAGATTATCCAATCACTTCTTCCACGGCGGAGGAAACTTGTACAAGAGAACTCTTGATTTGGGTTTACTAAGATGTGTCGACGCAAAGGAAGCTTCTAAGCTGCTTGAGGATGTACATGCCGAGACTTGTGGCCCGCACATGAATGGTTTCGTCTTGGCTAAGAAGATACTTAGGGCCGGTTACTTTTGGATGACCATGGAAACATAGTGCATCCAGTATGTCCACAAGTGCTTTCAATGCCAGGTGCACATCGATATGATAAAAGTGACGCCAAACGAGCTCAATGCAACAAGCTCACCTTGGCCATTCGCCGCATGGAGAATGGATGTCATTGGTCCAATCGAGCCCACTGCTTCAAACGGGCACATGTTTATTCTGGTATCCATTGATTACTTCACAAAATGGGTAGAGGCTACATCTTACAAAGCTTTAACTAAGAAAGTTGTCGCAGATTTTGTCAAGGATCAAATTGTTTGCCGATTCGATGTTCTCGAATCTATTGTTAATGATAATGCCGCCAATCTTAACAGTGATCTGATGAAAGCTATGTGTGAAAATTTAAAAATCAAGCACAAGAATTCCACAACCTACAAACCTCAGATGAATGGAGCCGTAGAAGCCGCCAACAAAAACATCGAGAAGATACTAAGGAAGATGGTAGAGAATCATAAACAGTGGCACAAAAAGCTACCTTTTGTTTTATTGGGATACCACACTACAGTTCGCACATCAACCGGGGTAAGTCCCTACATGTTGGTTTATGGTGCCGAGGCCATCATTCCAGCCGAGTTAGAGATTCTTTCTTTAAGAATCATACAGGAAACTGAACTCAACGACGCGTAGTGGATAAGAAGTCGCTCTGAACAGTTGGAGCTCATCGATGGAAAAAGGATGAACATAGTGTGTCATGGCCAACTTTATCAGAACAGAATGTCCCGAGCTTTCAAAAAAAGGGTCAAACCACGACAATTCGCACCAGGTCAGTTG